GGTTATCCGACATGGCGGTCACCGCTGCCACCAAATTGTAACGAGCCCAAATATCAGTACGAGAGACGGCCCAAGGAAGTAAGGCTTTGGCAACTCCTATGTACTTGAACGCCTATGTACAATAAGAAACTAAAGAGGGGAACCCTAATTACAAAAATAGACTGGGGCAAGGAGAGATTGTCCAGCGGGATTGGCGGAGGCACGGGGATCCAACGGAGACAGCGACGGAGGTCCCACGTCCGAAGGTTGGCGGCCGGCCACGGGGTTCCCGGAGGTTAATCCTCGCCCGTATTTATAGCTTTTCCAGTGCGGAAGTCATCAAGGTTGGGTCGCCGTCGTTGATTGGTTAAGCGTAGGTTGGGGATGGAAAGTTAAACAAACTTAGACCAGGGCTATTTTGCCTAAATTAAGGGCTATAATAATTTATTATATGCATACTTTTTGTAAGAAGCCAAATTGCGACTAACAGCCTGGCGTATAAATATAGGAAAGTTTGGCGGGCGCGCCCCTTACGGGGCGCGCTTTCTAGAACCTTCTGCAAGATGGCCGCCGCACGTGGTCTGGCATTCTAGAGTTTCCTACATTGCTCCCCCTTGCGAAAAGGGTCTGCTGTCCTCAGCAGAATCGTCTATTGCGATAGCGGGTCCACCGTCTGGCAGCACTTCGACAGTCTTCTCTACGGGGTGTCCATCTCTGAGTACCTCAGCCGAAGCGTATCCACCCTCCGGGGGAACCTCTAAATACTGGTCGACTAGCTGGTAGTTGTATGCGTGGAACGGGCCGGCCTCTGAATCGGCATGGCCTGAGTCCTCCTCTGTCGGTGAACCTGGCTTTAGGCGATTAAAGTGTACTGTAAATTCTTCCGAGTACGGTCTGTCTTGGCTGCGAACGACACAAGTCGTGTCGGAGAGGACCTTTCTAACCACGTACGGACCTACCCATGCTGGATTAAATTTCTGAGGCACACCCGGCAACGGTGCGAAATTCCGCATCCACACGATGTCGCCCTCTTGATATGGGGTCCCGTGTGCTAGGCGGTCATAGAATGCCTTCTGACGGCGCTGACCTTCTTGGAGATGCAGTCGCGCTTCCTCCGGTGCTATACGCAGGGTCTTATGCATCCTCGAGGCGTACGTATCAACGTTCTCCACGGGGTGTGTAGGGGGTAGGTGGAGATCCTCAGGGAGTTGCATCTCCCTCCCGCACGTTAGGAAAAACGGCGTGTGTTGCGTAGTGGCGTTTACCGTGGATCGGTAAGCCAACATGCACGCTGACAAGGCCTCGTCCCATGTGGATGCTGAATTCCGGTCGAAAAAAGCCCGCAAAAGGTTGATCAGCGTCCGGTTCGTCCTTTCCACCTGTCCGTTGCCCTGTGGGTGATACGCGGTAGTGCTGGTTTTCTTAATTTTCAGGGCCCTACACAACTCGTGTACGACGCTGCTCTCGAACGAAGAGCCTCGGTCTGAGTGGAGTTGGTCCGGGGCTCCCCAGCGGCAGATCCACCCGTTGAAGATGGCTCGGGCTACTGTGGGGGCAGACGCATCTGGTAGGGGTACTGCCTCAGCCATCTTGGTGAAACAGTCTACCATGACGAGAATAAACCTCTTTCCCCTCGCGGATGGCGCGATCGGACCAACTAGGTCTACCGCTACCCTCTCGTTGGGGTAGCCTGTCTGAATTGGCTGTAGCGGGGCTCTGTAGGAGTGCCCGGGGGACTTAAAGCCTAAACACCGCTCACAAGACCGGACAACGTTCTGTATGTCGGTCTTCTGATTCGGCCAGTAGTAACGCCGGCGGAGTGCCCACTCGGTCTTATGGATGCCGGAATGCCCTAGTTCCGCATGCATCCTTTTGACCACGTCGTCCACCATCGAAAGCGGTAGGACGACTCGCCTTGGGTATTGTTCGTTGTCGCGATAGAATAGAACACCATTTTCGATGAACAATTTGTCCCAAAGGCTATGCAGGCATCGCGTCTCATAACTACAACCCGCTAGCTCAGCTTTATTAAGGGGCCTTCCGTTACTAACCTTCCTATCATATATGGGACGTACATGAGGTTCATCCCGTTGGGCTGCGGCTCAGAGAAGACACTGATCGCTTTGCAAAGCGATAGCGGAGATGGTGATGTCCGTGCATGACGGGCACTCCCCGTGGGGGCGATGCGGTTTCCTCGAAAGGGCATCGGCATTACCATGTTGGCGACCGGGTCGGAACACGCACTCAAAGTCCGTATTCCGCCAACTTCTCCTGCCACCTCGCTACTTGCCCTTCAGGATTCTTAAAGTTTCTTAGCCAAGTCAAGGCACTGTGGTCAGTGCGTACGACGAACGGCCGGTACTGGAGATATGGCCGGCATTCTTCCACAAAGTGTGTGAGCGCCAACATCTCTTTTCGAGTCACGCAGTAGCGCCGTTCTGCTTTGGTCAACGATCTACTTAAATACTGAATGACGCGCTCGGTACCGTCTGACTGTTGTTGGGAGAGAACCGCGCCGATTGCGGTGTCACTGGCATCAGCATCCAGGATGAACTTCCCGGCATCATTACTAATATCAGGAAAGACTAGAATTGGGGTGGAGCACAGTTTATCCTTCAGCGTCTGGAAGCTGTTTGTGCAGTCAGCAGTCCACTTAACCCTAACGTTTTTCTGCGTTAGCTTGTGGAGCGGCCCGGCAATTTGGGCGTAGTCCTTAATAAATCGTCTGTAATAGGAGGCGAGGCCTAGGAAGCTGCGGACCTCCGCCACGTCTGAGGGGATGGGCCACTCACGGATTTGTGTGACCTTTTCGTCATCAGTCTCTATCCCTGCGGCTGAGACTACATGACCTAAGAACTTCACGCGGGGCTTTATGAAGACACACTTGGATGGCTTCAGGGTTAACCCCGCCTGTCGGAGACTGCTAAACACAGCCCTGATATTATTGAGGTGACTATCAAAGTCCTTTCCGAGGACACTTATATCATCCATGTAAACTAGACACGAGGTTGGTATTAACTGTGCAAGAACCTGATTCATCAACCTCTGAAAAGTGCCGGGGGCATTGGCGAGGCCGAAAGGCATCGTCTCGAACTCGTAGAGACCAGAGGGGACCGCGAATGCAGTCTTTTCCCTATCTGAGGGACGAACTTCAACTTGCCAGTAGCCTGAAGCTAAATCAAGCGTTGAAAACATAATATTGCCAGCGAGGGCGTCAAAGGTGGTATCTATCCGTGGAAGAGGAAAGGAATCTTTCTTAGTCACAGCGTTTAGCTTCCTATAGTCTATGCACAGTTGCATTGAGCCGTCCTTCTTTTTCACAAGTAAAATGGGAGATGACCAGGGCGACTGAGAGGGCCTTACGACTAAGCATATCATTGATAAGGGCATCCAGTTCCTTCTGGTAAAATATTCGAAGTCGCCTGGGGGGAACCCTGATGGGTCTCGCATCCCCCGTGTCGATGCAATGCTCCGTCACACTCGTCCTCCCCGTGGACTTGCCATCCCAATCAAAGATATCCTTAAATTCGTTGATTAATTGGCTGAGCTTCCGGGCGCTACCTTCTTCGAGGTGTGCCGGGACTAGGTCCTTAACATCAACACTAACCGCACAAGTGGGTACCCTCCGTGGCGGCCCGTAGAGCACGCTTACCGAAGTCAAGAGAACATCTAAACTTATTTAAAATGTCAACACCTATTATACAGTCCCAAGTGATATCCGGGGACACGACAAATTGGTGAGTAAAACTAAGACCTGAGAGGTCAAGAGAAAACTCCACAAGGCCAGTATGCCTAAGATGAGTGCCATTTGCAGTATGAAGTCGAAAACTAGGCCTATCACAATACCTAATCCTCGTTTGGAACTCTAAAAAGGACTGCTGACGTATCAAAGAGCAACCAGCGCCTGAGTCTAATAGGCATGAAAGACTGGAGCTGCCTACAAAGCCTTCAACTAAGGGGCATATAGTAGGACCAATGCATGAAACAGCTGAATCAGAGGCAATATAGCACTTACCGCCGTTTTCCTCCGTACTGACATCGATGGCCTGAACGGGGCGGCGAGCCTGAGGTCCTGGCCCTCGACGGGGCGGTTGACGACGCCATTGGTTTTGTCGGGGGTAGAAGGAGCCACAGGAGCAGGGGTGCCAGGGCGTTTGAGTGGCACAGTCGCGGACCGTCTGGGGCTGGACAGCTGCGATCTCGAGTAGAGGTTGGGCTGGCCGATCACAGACTGCCTGGAGTGCTTCCTCTTGACGTGCCAGGTCGAGGGCTTTACCGAAGGTAGCCGGTTGCGCCCGCATCAAGGCCTTCCGGATTTCAGGGTTCCTGACACCAGCGATGAACTGCTCCAACAACCGCTGATCGAGGGCTGCAGCATCCATGGTGCGAAAACCCCTCCGTCTCAGGAGACGTAGGGCCTGCTGGTAGTCGAGGACTCCTTCACCCGGCTCCTGGACGCGGCCCCGAAACTCGGACTGCAGAATCCAAGGGTGCACAGACGACCCGAGAATTGCACGAAGGCGATTCAGGATGTCCGACGCCGACATGGAAGAGGATATGTCTGCTGTCCGTGCAAGGTCGTAGACTTCGTCGTGCAGCAGGCCCATAATGGTTCCGCTTCGCGACGAAGCATCAACCCCGTGCAGGTAATCCGACACTCTCGCTTCCCACCGACCGAAGTCAGCGCCCCGCGATAGCTTTTCCGGCATGGGTGCAGACGGCTGTTGCAGGCCCAGCTTCTGCAGCTCCTTAACCAGTTTTCCCACTAGGTTATCCGACATGGCGGTCACCGCTGCCACCAAATTGTAACGAGCCCAAATATCAGTACGAGAGACGGCCCAAGGAAGTAAGGCTTTGGCAACTCCTATGTACTTGAACGCTTATGTACAATAAGAAACTAAAGAGGGGAAACCTAATTACAAAAATAGACTGGGGCAAGGAGAGATTGTCCAGCGGGATTGGCGGAGGCACGGGGATCCAACGGAGACAGCGACGGAGGTCCCACGTCCGAAGGTTGGCGGCCGGCCACGGGGTTCCCGGAGGTTAATCCTCGCCCGTATTTATAGCTTTTCCAGGGCGGAAGTCATCAAGGCTGGGTCGCCATCGTTGATTGGTTAAGGGTAGGTTGGGGATGGAAAGTTAAACAAACTTAGACCAGGGCTATTTTGCCTAAATTTAGGGCTATAATAATTTATTACATGCATACTTTTTGTAAGAAGCCAAATTGCGACTAACAGCCTGGCGTATAAGTATAGGAAAGTTCGGCGGGCGCGCCCCTTACGGGGCGCGCTTTCTAGAACCTTCTCCAAGATGGCCGCCGCACGTGGTCTGGCATTCTAGAGTTTCCTACAACGGCATTATCTCGTGAGTACGGCTTGGGATGCTTGGCTTCACGTGAGCTTGCTCACCTTTACTATTTCCCATTCATACCTTTGTTGTTTTCACCCCATTTCTGCATCAACTGTCCTGAGCCGCCAACCGCCACAATTTGGGGTAAGCTGAGGCCATTTGCTTACTGCATAAGTGGTTGTGACGCAGACTAGGCGCCTTCACCCGCAGTTTGCCCTCAGTTACCATGGCGGTAAGGCGTGCCATGCAACCAAACTTCAAAGACCTAAACCGTTTGAAATTCAGCACCAGCTGCTTACGTTGACTGTGTTCGGGAGTCGCAGCTGTGAAGTGCATATATAGCGAAACTTCAATGTGTCAACCAGAGGATGGCCGGGCGGGAGTTTCTCACTCGTGCGTCCACTGAAGCTGGTATAGGAAGCCTGTAAAGCAATAGGTCTGTTATCGAGGCTTACCTTCTTGTATTCTCGTATTGCTGACATTAGGTCGTCGTAACTCTCGTAGGCTCCATTTTTGAAAATATCTTTAAATAAGGTGCATAGTCTGCGCGTCTGGTCCTTTGCTGTGGGGCATGGTCATGGCAAAATTGCGCCTGCCTACTTGTCGGCGAGGCTGGACGCAATGCCCGAAAGTCTGCCAGTCGGGAGCCTGGGCTCCTTTGCTTAGAGGGCCGCGGTGCCCCAGGCGCAGGCTCGTGTGCATGGATCGCATGGGACGATGTAACCGCGAGGCAGCCCTCCTTGCGGTACTGTATGTTAAAGACGACGTTGCAGCTGGTTACGCGTAATTCGCAGCCCGACACCGCGCAGCCGCGAGGTGGATTTCTAATACGAGCCGGCGGACTTTCTACGTTCCACGACCAAGCTTCCGCGAAATCAGCCGAAATGCCCGCCAGCGTGGTCGTGAGGGAGCTCTTATGTCCGTCCTGAAGACAAGGCAATCCTCCGCGGACTCACTGCCCTTGTTGAAACCGGGGGACAATTTCGACGTTTGGTACTCCCGAGTAAACGTTCGCTTGGCCTCCGTTGCAGTCAAAAACTGTACGCGATATATATGCCGCCAGTTCTCGACGGAAGCGCTGACGAGAGCTTCTGCTTTCTGCGTCAATTTCGACACTGACGTGGATTCGCTTTTGAGCACCCGTCGGCGTGTTTTTGCAACTCACAAGCCCCCAGTGGATGCGTACAGGCAGTTCTCATCCCGCCTTTAGCTCCCTGGTGAGGGTGCTAGAGATTATTTAGGCTGTCTTCGCCCTCTAATACTCGCAGCCTTTCCCGACCAGCCATCAAGTCTCACTGACGTTGTTCTCGCCGCGCATTTCCGCGTCGGTTTATTGGACGATAAACTCCGCTGGAAGTTGATTAAGAAGCTCAACCTGTCGTCTGGGGCCCTCTTGACCCTGGTCCAGGAGTATGAGGAACTCTGCGGTCCCTCGGTCGCCGCTCCATGTTATTCCACCTCAGTCGCCCGGCAACGGCATACTCGATCAATGGCGACCCAGACACTCCGGAACTTCACGCGTCCATTCCGAGGTCGCCAGGCTGGCGTCGCACAAGTCTCCATTGAGTCCTACCTCGTTCCTGCTGTTACATCTAGCTCTGGTTTTCCCGCCCCCATTATTAACGCAACGGTTGCAGACAAGCAAGTAGCAATTCTTGTTGACACAGGGGCAGCCGGCTATTTGCTAAACCTCCAGAGTTTCACCCGTACCTGGCTACAGCCAACCGAGATTTCCCATAGACACCCCCGTATCGTAGCGGCGAACGGTATGCCACTTTCCTCCTCGTCACAAGTCGACGTGCCATTTCGTCTGGACTCATCTGAGTTTACCCACGCCTTTTACGTTTGTCCGGATATTCAGTGGCTGGGTATTTTAGGGGCTGATCTTCTCTATGCTCACCGTTTCTGCATCGATTTTGCTGCCTGTCAGCCCACCTCTAAGTCGACTACGGTTCCCTTTTATTTTCCCCATGCTCCTGACCGCCAGCGGTTTTGCGACCCAGTCGGGCTCCACCCTCCCAGCCTTCCGACCTGGTACATTTGGTTCCCGACTCCCCGGGGTTCTCTTCTGAAGATAACACTGCCGTTCGAAACCTTATATTCCAGAACTCCGCTGCTTTTGCATGGGATGGCGAACCCCTTGGTATTCGGTCTGGCTTTCGACAGGGTTGTATCCTGTCATCCATTCTGTTGAACTATGCTATTGACTGGATCCTCGGGGGGGCCCTACGCGAGGGTGACGGCGTTGGGTTTGCAACCGGACACCGACTGACTGATCTCGACTATGCCGATGATATGGCCTTACTTGCTTCAAGTTTCGGTGATCTGCAGTCTATGGTGTCACGGGTGAACGAGGTCGCTAAATCAGTCGGTTTGTCCATAAACGCTGGGAAGACCAAAGTGTTCTCAAGCTGCATCCCTGACCAGGAGAAAGCACTCCTCGGGATTGATGGCTGTCAACTTTAAGAAGTAGCCAGTTTTGAATACCTTGGGGCGAGGCTGCTGCCTAATGGACAGAGTAAGGACGAATCGATGCTGCCCGCTGGGTTTTCTGAAGCCGTCGAAAATGCCCATGGATCCGACGTGACCTCTCTATCGTCACTAAGATTCGCGTCTACCGTGCATCTGTCCGGTCTGTCCTTCTCTACGGTTGTGAATGCTGTGCTTTGCGCGTGGAGGACGAGCGAAAACTGGAGGTATTTGACCACCACTGCTTGAGGACCATCCTTTGAGTGAAGTTCACCGACTTTGTCTCAAATGAGACAGTCCGCGCTCGCTGCGAAAACATCGCGAGGATAACTCAGGCCACCCAAGACAGACGACTGAGGTCGTTCGGGCATGTTCTTCGTCGTCCACCTCAGGAGCTTAATGTTGCTGCCCTCGATCCGGCACCGCTTCCCCATTGGAGGCGTCGAAGAGGGGATCAGTTCAAAACCTGGCTCGACATAGTTCAAGACATGGAGGTGGTTCTTGGACCTTCCGTATTCGGTCTACGTCGTTGGCGAAGGGAATGGGTTGAGCTGTCCAGATCTGCTGCCGCGGACCGTCACGCGTGGAGAGGTACAGTTCGTGACTGCATCGATGCCGACTAGATCAGGCATGATCAAAGCCGTATCAAGTACAAGTAGGTATCCCTTGGTAGAACGACACTGTATATTACTTTTCTAGGTGACGTACTTGTCTCCTCTTGCCGGGGACACGGCTCTGTCCTTCGTTGTTAGAGTTTTCGGAGCGCTGTTCTCCGAAAAAATCACTCCCATTGTCACCTTCTACGGCCGACAACAAGGGAAGAGGCTGTTCTTCGGAGCGCCTCTGTATAATTTGGTTCTAGGTAAGGCCTGTTATGTATGTATACTGATGAAATTTCTCACAGATATCTTTGACCACTGGAACAGAAGACAGCGCTCCGACCGTCACCAGTTGCAGAGGGCCCTGAAAAATGCCTTTAAACGGGCATACGATCGTTTGCTTAAAAGAACTAGCAAGTTGAACATTCACAGCGATGCAGGGCCCTCAACGCGGCCATGAACCCAAATTTTGTACATTTTAGAAGCTTTAAATTTTCAATAAATGTTTTCGCATTTGACACAACGGCTTCCTTTCATGCACTGCAAAAAAATGTTATAAGCTGTAAGCATATAAGGCGTTAGGGGCAAAACCTGGATGGGGGGGGGGGTCGCGGACGATGGATATACGTAGGCTGTCATTTGGTTGGAATTTTGAGTTACGAAACGTCGGAGTCTATTCTCCACCGTTTCGCTTGGTGAACATGTATTCGACAGAGACTGACCGTACGAATAGCTTCCGATTCAGATCTTTTTCTTAATTCATTGCTATTAGGGATGAACTATCGCCCAGGGCACTGACAAGAGCATCGAACTCTAGAGTTTCAGAATTGCGTGTGACTCCATGAGCCACCGAACGCCTTGCCTCAGGTTCGCCCGCCCTCGTTGGGGGGATGGCGTTGGGTATTTGGGCGTCCAGTGTGCCGGGGGGTACTGAACAAACGACTATTTCCTTTGCAGGTCGCTATACGGAACATCGGAGCTTACCCACGTACGGAGAGGGGACAAGGTCGCGCTGAAATCAGCTGCCCGGCTTCAGATTCCTGGAGCAGCAAATCCGTAGACAACAGATAACCTTACCGACGTTGATACCAACTCAGGCATCTTACCCAGCGTCGGAATTAGAGGGTCAGATGGACTTTTTGCTCTCTTGTTCGGTTCATTGTCGTTAGCCGGCAGTTCGTCAGACGTGATTATTGGAAGTAGTGCTTGGAAGTAGAAAAGCTTTAGAAGGACAAAATAAGGAGACACGATCGCTGGGACAAGAGCTTTATTAGCCTGTCGTTTCGGATTCCTGCTCGAACCCATCATC